CTTATAGATTATAAATATTTATAGTATCCGTTATATAATGAATTCAATTGTTTACTTGGATAGTGTGGATATTGGAGAAGAGAGTGAAAAAGTTGAGGATCATGTGACTCCCTCATAATCTCAGAAGTGTTCAAAAATTGCTAAAAATGCCCGATGGAGACAATTCTCACTTGTAAACTAAGATATCAAAAGCAATCTGTTGTAAAGCACGTTTTGATTAATTTCACTGCAAACAAGCCGATAGATAACTGTTGAGATCGACGGCAATTTGAAATCACGACTGCAACTCAATTTCTTCAAATACGGACCTTTAGTTATTTCCATTGTTTTTTGTAGCCACTGTGGTAACAAATTCAGCCATGTATCACAAGTGCGTAATAAAAAAGTTGATGATGGAATATAATGAACGAAACGTTGTTGGTTCACGTCAGATAATAACGAACATAGAGGAGCATTGAAAATTCCTACATCTTATTCATAGCCTTCGAAGTGGAGTGGTTGAGCAAAAAAAACGTCTTGAAAAGTTCTATAAACTCTGAAATCCCGGTAATGTTATTTAGTAAGGGACCGTAGAAGCATAAAAGCTATTTCATTTCAATATATCCTAACATGTTTTCCATGTTTCAATAATGCCCCCGGGGTTTAAAATGAAAATTATTTGAACATATTATTTGTAATGATTTTATATACCACAAAGTTAAATCATGCTATTATTTATGGTAAAATTGGTCCCTTTTTGGTGAAGTTATCCATAAAGGGACCGAGAAAGCATCAAAAAATCATGTTTAGGAGTTTGAAATGAAAATTATTTCAACACATCAATTGTAATGATTTTATTTACCGAAATTGCTATGCATATGCAGGAATAACTTCAGTGAAGAATTTTGCACTGACACCTGTCGGATATAATCCAACGCCCTTCGCAGTATTAGCCAGGGGAGTAATTGTTTTCTGATAGGTGTCAGTCCATTAACCTACAATGTAGGTAATTTGAGACTGTCTTGAAAGAATTATTCCTTCAGATGATTTTATTTATAGCCAGTCTTCAACTACGCCCACTGACTATATGTGAAAAACTAGGAAATCTGTTCTGTACTCGTTCAATGAGGAAGTGAATTCGCCCATTTACGATTGTCGTACCACACCTCACCCGATTTTTCAACTATCAAATTTTGATTCTTTCATATAGTCGACCAAATTTATAACTCTTTGATGACATTTTGTTTTTTCAGGATATTAATGACAAGATTAAATATTTTACTGATTTGATGCTTCTCATATTTGATACCGTTGCGCCAGTAAAAAAAGTGAAAGTAAGGTTCAACAACCGTGGCTCACTGATAATGTGAAACTGATAACAGGTCTAAGGGATAAAGCTCTTAAAAAATTCAAAAAAACTAAGAACATTACGGATTGGAACTATTATAAAATGCTGAGAAACCAAACCAATATCATGATAAGAAATGAGAAAAAAGTGGTAACCATAATAGTAAATTATTGTGGAATAAACTCAAAAATCTTAACATATATTCTCGTAAAAAAATAACTTGCCAGAAAGACTTAATGATCCTATTAATGATCCTCTTTTTTATATCTTCTTTTTTCTTTGTTTTTTCTCTCGTTTAGTTTTCTTTTCTTCCAGGCTAGAACAAAGATCATGTTGTACATGTTGTTTCTAGCCTTATTTGTAGTTTTTTTTAAATCATTTTTATAGATTGTATATTTATTGTATTTATATGAAACTACAAATGAATATTATTATTATTATTATTATTATATATCGATGATCCATGTGAATTGGTTGAAATATGGCAATGTTTTCCGTGAGAAATCGGGGTGGTGGAAGAGCTTACACATAATGCATTTGAGGTTCATCAAAACGGTTCACAATTTATGAATCGTTCTCTATAACCTCTGTCTAAACATTCCATGCATATGCAAACATTCACAACCGATATTCCATGTTAGTGTTCAAGACGATAAAACTTTCTGAGAATTAAACTAATAAAGTTGGACGTTCTTGGTTAGAGTCACAATAATCTATCTTTCAATTAACATCATCACGTTTTTAAAAGCCCAACACCTCAGATAGCACGTTGGTCATTCTGGGACCAATGAAGAACAACGTTGAATTTTGCGTAGGATGATTTCCGACATTCCAGGACTTCCCCACAATGTCCTGCAATGTGCTACGACAAAACAGGGGCTGTTGAGAAAATATAAGGGGTCATATTCCACAAGCCTAAGGACATCCTGTACCTACCAAGAAGATTAAACATGGAACATGCCTTGTATCATATTATTCTTACATATGATATCCTATGGATATACCTATTTGTCATTTTTGTGTTGGATATCAGTAACTTATGTGAAGCCCAACAAAATAACAAAAAAAAGTCTACTAACCTTCATTTGTAAACAGGTTCGACTTTATTGTATAACTCTAATGGTATGTGAAGTAACAACAGTGTGCATTTAATCGTTAAATCTAGTTCAGTGTGAAGGATAACGCAAGGATAGACATAAAACATTCCGTTCTAGCTGTCAAGAGCGACTCGTTCATATAAGGAATGACAATGCATTGCATAAGAAAATCTAGAATTGAGTAATTTATTTGACGAGGATGCCTTTCAATTTGTTTTAATCTGAAAATTTCGTGTAGATCAGTGAGGCAGTACCAATTTGGGTGCTGTTTTCAATTATGTATTTTTGCAAGCTGCAACTAAATCATTCCTCCCACAAAAGTTGATTATTATCGTTTCAATTCTACAAGAAATAATGAGTTATTAATTAAGTTACTCACCAAAAAGTATTTTCTTCGTCCTTGTGATGCACTGTTTGTAACGATTGATGTAGTAATGACTATTACTGGAGTTTTTCCCTACATCAAACCGTTATTTTAACACCTCAATGGCTTGGTGTTGGGAAAAAAGTCCAGTAATATTTATTTTCTCCGTGTTGATAATATTACTATTTGAAAAACCATCAAACATATTAGATACATAATAAAAAAATTAAAAAAACATTGCAACAACCAACAACACCAACACAAAACAACATGAAAAAAACGAATAGCTTTATCTGTGATTCTGATAATGTGGTGACTCTTTTTCAATCAATGACAGAAAGGAAAAGAATGAAAAAAAAAGTAAATTATTTAGGTATTTCACTATCGCATTTGAGGATATGTAACATTTAGCTCAAAATTCTTTTGGATACATATGGTTGAACATCTAGAATAGTTGGATGATCAAAATAAAAAATGTGTAACAAAATTGTAACAAAAACAACTGGAGTCTATACAGAATTCAGAAATTTCTTTGAAAAGATCTATGGGTGAAATGGTGAAGTTTGAGATGATTTCGAATTTCTTTTTCATTATACTAATCAAGATGTCTATAGGAATGTTCTGATGAAATTAGAAAATTCGAAAGAGTCTTTCACAAAGAATTCATCTTTTTCGAAACCGTGTGTCAATATTTCGCTAATCCATTTCGAAAGCCTTATTAGAAAAAGAATTGAAGAAAAAAGGGTCTCTTCCCAATATACAGGAGTGAACCCAATAATGAAAGCATTTTGTATACGTTGTAACTTCTGCTTGTTATATTGCGGCAAAATATTGTGATACTTTCACCGAACAACAATACTCGATATGGGGGTTAATGAGAATTTAAACTGACCTAAGTTTCATTTCTTCTGATAACTGATACTTGAATTTGTATGTATAGCGATTTGAGAGAATGATACTTTGAAAATGTTTGTCACATATTCATGGAAAGACGAAGAGCTGTCTATGGTTAAGCCAAGAGTTTTAGCACTGTCTACCCAGTCAATGTCTGCGTTATCGAGAGTGAGCCTAAAGTTACACTGAGTTTCTACTATTTGTCTTTGAGACCCTATGCACAAGGCCAAAGTTTTATTTGGATTGATTATCAGTCCATGATTCTCCAAGTATAGGAATGTTTTGTGCAAATCTGTGTTTATACTTTCTGTATCGGTGTTATGAGAAGACAAATATAACTGTACATCATCTAAGTATAGATTATACGAATCGCATGAAAGCATTTTGTATACGTTGCAACTTCTGCTTGTTACATTGCGGCAAAATATTGTGATACTTACACCGAACAACAATACTCGATATGGGGGTTAATGAGAATTTAAACTGACCTGAGTTTCATTTCTTCTGATAACTGATACTTGAATTTGTATGTATGGCGATTTGGGAGAATGATATTTTGAAAATGTTTGTCACATATTCATGGAAAGACGAAGAGCTGTCTATGGTTAAGCCGAGAGTTTTAGCACTGTCTACCCAGTCAATGTCTGCGTTATCGAGAGTGAGCCTAGAGTTACACTGAGTTTTAGACCCTATGCATGAGGCCAAAGTTTTATTTGGATTGATTATCAGTCCATGATTCACCGAGCCTAGAAATGTTTTGTGCAAATCTGTGTTTATACTTTCTGTATCGGTGTTATGAGAAGACAAATATAACTGTACATCGTCTAAGTATAGATGTACTTAACAATGTGATGAGAAAGTGGGGTAATCAAAAATGAACACTGAAAACACACAAAATTTCATTTGTAGAAAATTTATCTGATAAACTTGGAATGCTACTCAGTACCGAACAAATTGAATTGGCCTTTTCAAATGAAAATACAGTAGAAAAGCATTTCTTCTCGAAACAAAAAACAAAAACACCACAAGAAATACAATCCAATATAGTGTACAAATTGAACTGTGGAAGATGTCACAAATGATATGTTGGTCAACTCAAAGAACTATGTACGCCTCATTGTTCTACCACAGAATAAATCCTACTCCTCTTTCTACAGAATATCTTCATTCTTCATAATCCAAAACGCTTCAATATAAATAAAAATTTCATATCGCTTTGTCATTCAGGAGACCCTTGAATCCTGAACTACATTGAAAATAATCCAATTCACCGAATGAAGCCAAAAAAAATTCGATTCTAATATCGATGTTTTTTCCAGATTATGCACAGCAAAGAGATGGCCATCGAGGGCCTGCCGCTGAGGAGGCAGGAGCGCGGTGCCAACGATCAAGACATTCTTGCTGGAGCAGATTTTCTATCAGTCTTCATGGAATCATCACTCAGAAGGGCTTTCAGCGAAACCACCTCAACTACAGCCCCCACCACAATCGTAATAGTTGAAGAAGAAAATACTCCGCAGCAAACCCCAACTACCATCTTCACTCGACCCTCGAGAAGCACCCATTCATTTGCTCAAACGACAGAACAGTTACATGTTAGTGATAGGAACCTAATTTCCAGTGATTCTAGTGATAGTGAAGAAGGCGTCATAGTGGCGGTCAGAGTGTCGTCTTCTGTAGGTAGATCAGTAAATAAAGAACAGTTCCATAACGTAGATAGCACAACGTTTCAGCAAACTATCACTTTGACGACTACAGAGTTACCAGATCAAAGTTTCGTAGCTAGTGAAGAGCACCCCAGTATAGTAGCAGCCGTGAGTAAAAGTGAACTTAGCGTGGAAGAGACCGATCCAATCACTAAAGACAGCGATATAGTTCAAGACTTCAGCGGGGGATATCCTGCTAGCGTACGAGAGCTTCCTAACCAAGCTCGCTCTTCGTACGACCCCACGGCAGGTTTCATAGACCAGGCATCAAGCAAAGACACCAAACAACCCTACCAAACCGTAATATATCACGATAACCCCAGTGAGGGTGCTAGAGCCAGGTCAGTGTCGTACAGTTCCATTATCCAAGCTCTTCCACAGGCTTCAGCCGAGACTGACAAGTCTGCACCCCATGATCGACACGAGAGAAACTACAATGGTGCTGGAAGTCCCTACTCCAATATCTACAACTCAAACAGTGCCAAACCTAACAACACCAGGTCTGGAAACCCTGTAACACAGTGGAAAAAGAACTCTAATGGACAAATCAACCCTACAACCGAGAAAAACTGGGAGACCCAGGAGAAGCCTTACGTTCCTCCATCTCCTACTCCTGCTCATTTGCCGAAGGTCTTCGGAAGACCGGAGCAGAACTACGAGGTGGACGAGGCAGTGAGCGTTGTGACCAATGGCAGAACACATGGTGTACAGCCTAGCGTACCGTCGAAGCCTGAGAAAAAAGAGGAAGATAACCAGAAGGTGGGTTACGTTGTTGAAGGAAGAAACTACAGGAGGTACAGGGTGGAAGAGCGAACACCTGATGGCTTCATTGTTGGTGAATACGGGGTGGTTAGTCATGACGATGGTTCACTCAGAGGCGTGCGATACACAGCTGATGGTACCATCAACCCGAAATTGATTTCAGAAGCTCTGTTGAAGTTTTTGTCGCTGTGATTTCTTGCCACTGAAGCCAATGTACTGATCGAATTTTAGTTCCTTTTGCGATTTGGTGCAGTTTCCTGCTGACAACTGGTCTAGTTGAATAGTATTTATTATATAAAGATTTTCAACGAAGTTTTTAATTTGTCATCAGGAAACTACTTTATTCGAACTCTGTCTCATTTAACCGACTCTTTAAATCAGACAAGAGTGATATTTGCGGGAGTAAGAAATTTCCCTGATCGATTGTGCTATCATAAAATTATGCTCACATTTTCTAAATTTAGGTAATCTCGACTTTTTGTATCTAATTTTATTGAGAAGGTAATATAATGTAGAACATCGAAATAGTTTCACTTCATTTTCTCCTACAAGGAAATCCATTGAAATTCATCAAGTGTGTAGCATTTTCAATCTAAACTTGAAAATGTTCCAATTTGGTGATTGTTCAATTGTATAATCTAGCTCATTGAACAACATTCAAGGACAAAGGCAAAGAGAACTTTTGTGGTGAAGACTTGTCCTATAGATAATGGGCATTAGTTTATCTCTGGAACTAGTTGGATGATGATGTTGCTGGAAAGGTTAATGAAGCAGATCCTGGTTGTATGACACAAACATAGAAAATTACTCCACTACAGAAATCAGCCAAGAACCTCGGAACATAGTAGCTTTTTCTCGATCTTCCACACAATGTTACAATTTGAGGTGTTCATGTTTATAGTCCAACTTGAGGTCCATGTTAGTAGAAGCACAAGAGTGTTGGCTGTTCTTGTTCATCTTTCCCTGCCTGAACCACTGTGCATACTGTTCTTGGGGAGTGCATTGGCTTGGGATGTGGGGGTTGAGCAAACCGACCATCGGATGCCTGCTTCCACGTAGCCCCGCTAGATACGGGAATGACAGAATCACTTTGTGATTCTGTTACTCCCTAACTCAATGGTATCCCAATGATGGCTCAATCCTAAGATGTGTGTATCCGTGCCGAGAGGATGAATGGCACTGAGCCTATCAGCTGTTACTACGGAATTTTCGAGACACCGTACGCCCTTTCGTCGTAGCATTGCCTTGTCACGGTAATGCGGGGCTCTGCCGCGATTGACCTTCTTTTCCTAGCTACTCGTGGGACTTTTATGGACAGAATAAACTTAAATTCTTTTCTGACGCTGAGTCTACAGAGGGGATGAATGTCGAGCTTATGCCTCCAACTGCCCTCCCTGTAAATTTAGATCAGGAGTGAGTCTACAGAGGAAATGGAGGTCGAGCTTACGACTCCAACTGACCTCCCTGTAAATTCAGATCAAGAGCGGGAGCTTCTCAACCCTCCAACTCCTGATCCAATAACTGAACTGGCTGATGGTGCAGCCAGGAAACGACTGAGTCGTCTCCTCAAAAGCGAAGTACCTTATAAAACCGCCTTGCACCAAATTCTTGAGCGGCATACGCAGAGTTTATCTCAGTTGCAAGAACAAACCCCCTCATGAGCAGGTGAGCAAACGTTCGCGCTCAAGTGATGATTCACCCAAACTAGAAGCGAAAAAGCCCTGCACGGTTGATTTCAAGACATCGTCAGGTATAGCTAACGTGCAAAAAGTGCAAAAACCTTCATATGAGAAGGTTGTCGCGGGTATCAACATAGGAATCTTGAACCTCGACTATCCGACTACCTCATTAACGATGAAACAGCAGAGAATATACTTTGTGCCTGCCACGCTGAAGACGTGGCAGGCACAAAGTATTTGGAGTTCGGCAGAGCCGTACTCTTATCATCTGACCTGAAAAACCACTCACAATGAACCCTTGCGGGTTGGACCTTGGCACTTTGGACCTAACCTCACCTAACCTAGTAGAAGCGCAAGACTCGACTCACAGACTCCTGTCTTCGTAGATAATGTTCTGTCGAGTTACTAATTGAAAAATTCAGCAATGTTGTTCTTTTATTTTTGTTTTGTTTTTTTTTTGGAGGAAAATTACGAGCACTACAGAAAAATCCTCAAGGCACTCTCGGAGCGCAGTTCCCAGTCAAACATTGAACGAAGTTCGAAGTGTGCTGAGTTGAACCTCAAAACGATGAGCAGCCACAGTCCGTCGCGTATTTCTGGTGAAATCAAATATGCTAAATCACTTGGACACCTCCCGTGAAAGTATCTATTGAAGAGAGACAAATCTCCAACCTTTCTTTGATGTTCCAGGCTAACAAGGTTGCACGTAATGTTTGCGTCTCCAATCAGGTGGATGGCTCTTTTCGGGATGGAATCCAGTAATCTCAGGGTATGTATGGGGGCAGAGCTCCATACATGAGAACAATACTCCAAAAAAGGTCTGATCTGAGCTTGATAAAGCATCAAAATTTGCTGAGGTGTGTATAGTTTTCTGATTTGGAACAGTGTTCCAAGGTTTTGAGAAGCAGCCTTTGTAATTCCAGCGACATGATTGTGCCAAGCCATATTGGTGTCCATTATAACCCCAAAAAACTTGTCGAAGCAGAAAGTAAAGCAAAGTAAACAAGTAAATATTTATTCAGTCAAGCATAATCTACAATATGGATTCAACATTGAAACTAGATAACTTGAGAAACTAGAAAAAAAAGAACTAACTAAAACTGGAAATTTTGAATCCAGGCTGGGCTACCTAAGCAAATGTTTTTGTTGTAGTCATCAACCATGTATTACATTGATTATTCACATATTGAGTGGTGAATGGAAAGGAGGAAAAAATCAAAGGTAAATTAATTGTGAGGGGGAGACTATATGGTTATTAATTGTATTTTGTATTTCTTATTATTATTCGAGTTCGTATACGGTTTTCAGTTATAATTTTGGTTCACATATCATTTCAGTTTTGATTTCATTTTACGTTTATTAGGAATGACTCTGATTTCTAAAGGGACTAGGTTAAATAATTTTGGACCAAAGTATGATATAAATTTCTGTATGTGCGTTAGCTTACAGAGAGGAACATTTGTTTTCTGCTCAAATTTAGTACGTGTGTTGTAAGTATGACTTATTTGAGAGATAGAAGTATTTTGCATCCATATTAAGCATTGATATGTATAGAGTTTTCTAACATCAAATCAGCCAGTTCCTTTGTAAAGGTCTTCAGTAGAGCAGCTTCTGTTTTTCCTAAAAATTATTTTTAATATGTTATTTTGCATAACCTCTAGAACAAGTAATGATATTTTACTGAGACCACCCCATATAAAGATACAGTACCCCAATAAAGATTCAGCGAGTGAGTTGTAAATCGTAAGTAAAAGCTTTTTATTATTCAGATTTCTGATTTTATAGAATTTATGAATCAACTTATCGAGTCTCTGAACTGTGTTGTCAATGTGTTCTTCCCATCGCAGGTGTTGGCCCACATATACACCCAAATACTTATTGGACATGAACACTGCGTTGGGGTTCGGCATAGATAGTTATGAACAGTGAGAGTGTTATTCAAATGTTGGTTTTTTTTTGTTGTGGTGAATGCAATGAAGTTAGATTTTCCCACATTCAAACTCAGGAGGCTCTGTTTCAGCTTTCTCATAGACTTCAACCCAGGAATCGCCTTCAAAAAAAAAGTGCTGTATCGTCTGCGTAAGATATTATTCTGCCATTGATATTATGAAGATTATATAAATTGTTAATATAAATAAAAAATAAAATAGGACCCAACACTGCCCCCTGGGGCACGCCCATTTTGACAGGTAGTGGATCGCTGAGGGTACTGTTTATTTCAACCTTTTGATTTCTATCAGATACATAGTTTTTAAATAAGTTTAAAGTAATACCTCTAACTCCTACATTTTCTCAACGGTCCAGAAGATTGATTGTTTACAGTATCAAAGCGGATTTGTCTGACCTGACATCATTATATTCGATTCGGAGACATTTATCTTCTTGGAGAAAACAGATGCCTGGGTGTTAGTGGCATTGAATCAAACCTGGTTCATTTCACCCCAATTAGAAATCACTTCTAGATCCTCATTAAGATATGCAACCTCTTGCTGCCGGTGAAGATGTGCCTCCGTAGCCGATGTCCTGGAATCCAAATGGGATGACGAGATAAGTGTGCTTTCGTCAGACGTATTGAATGATTCTATTTCAACCAAGTTGTCTAACTATGAATTTGACCCCATCTGCATACACTACTGTTCGAATTGTTGACAGTTTTTCAAAATATTTTCAGCGTACATCAAAAGTAATGAAGGACCCAAAATTGGACCCTGTGGAATACCCTGCTCAATGGTTAATTACTGACTGGGAATATTATCAACACTGACAAATCGGTCTCTATTTTCCAAATATGATTTCATCTAATTTCCATAACAGAAACTTATGATTCATTCAATGGAAGGCTCTGGAGAACTTGTAATGCACTGTTTGGAACCTTTGATGTAGTAATGGATATTACTGAAGCTTTATTCCAACACCAGTCCATTATTTTTAACACCTCGACACGTGTTTTGGTCATCAAGTGATCATTTTCGAGAGGAAGCTTGAACTGATTGAAGAAGAAGATTAAACTGATCAAATCATTCGATCTCCCTCTTGAAGATGATCACTTAGTGACTGAATCACATGATGAGGTGCTAAAAATATTCCGGCTCTGGAGAAGTCTATAAAAGGTTCGTCGAAAGAAAGTCACTGTCCTCCTTGTGGGTGGAGAAAATGTTGATTAGATCAATACCCTTGACTCGAAAAGATGTGGAAACATATTCTAATTTCCGATGCACTCAAGTTTCAACATTTCAATTACAAGCCGGCTTCGAACAGAAATAATCTGTTTCAAAAAAGAATTGATCGCTCCACTGAAATGCCAAGCAATCTTTATTTTCTAAACAACTACGGATGTTTATACAAATTGATAGCGGCGGCGTATTTCCTAAATTGGATATGAGGTCTGGTAATTCAAAGTAATTTAATGGTCCATTATGGTACAGAGATGGAAGTTGTTCGACCGCCTTTTCTCAAATTACCTTGAAATTCACGACACATTATAATCAAAAGTATTTCCTGATGGAGAACATCGACGAATGTGTTCGAATTATGCTGCAACCTGTTGCTGAAGGGTTCATGGCCCGACTAAAAATATACCGACTCGTTTCATGGGAACAAGTTCCTACTTAGTGAACTGCGGAATGATTTACATACAATTTTATCGATATTTGCCTCGCCCTTTATTTATATTTTGTTTCTACACATAATTTTGTCGTTCAAAACGGTTGTTATCATAGAATTCGATGTAGTGGATTGTTCAAGAAGTGGGTGAATTTTCAAATTTCGCACTCTTTTCGAACATATGTTTACAGGGTTGGTGAGAGACATAAAAGTTAGTTTTTTTTTATTTTCTGCTATCGAAAT